TCAACGCCAAGATTTCTGTTCGCAATGTAAGTAAGTTCCTTCCAAAAGGTTGGAGATAGGTTACCGGTGCAACAATAAAAGTGTGCTTTCGGCGTTGTGGCTTCAGTTTACTAGGATCCGATGCAATTTCTGATGACGCCGTCATAGCCGAAAACCAGATCAGCGCTTGTACACTCCTAGTAATGGATGCATAAGAGTTCGTTGTCATTGACAAGGATGTAGAATGTACCTCAGTTCTGATAACTGTTTATGATGAAATGGTCCATAAAATTGTTGTGAACCAACTAGAAAATAAAAAAGCCAGCGACTTGGCGAATGCCGGACGCCTCCGTGATTAACAACAATCAAAGCGTGTCGCATTCAAGAGCAAATAACTGCGTGAATCATCTGTGTAGCTACGGATCTTTGCATGGACAAGGCAACGAGTTCTTATCCTAATTGGACTTCATCAGAGCAGAAATGACTGAAGTATCTGCCCGAAATAAGGTTCAATTGAGGTTGGCTTCTTCTCAGCGAATATATACAGTGTCGCAAGTTTCTATAGCTATCCAGGTAAAATGCTTTATGGTAAAAATTTTAAACATCTTTTTTGGGCTTCAGTTAAAGTACGTATGTTGGCTTTCTTAGCACGTTACAATTCAAGTGATAACCTGTACCACACCTCAATGGTTGTTTCCCATTCTGGAAAAATGACAATATCGGTTAAGTGTCCGCTCCGCGTTATTGCCCACTTTGAGATATCTCGATGGTGGGCAATAAACCAGGTTCGACTGTAGTAGAATACTGCAGTATGGCTCTAGCTAGACGGAAACACATTTGCGCCATCTGTCAGGTTTGCTCTGTCGTCTGTTCATTATCGCGCCCCCATCGCTGTAACCCTGAAACGTAATGCATTGTCGCACATAAAGTGTTGCACAGCAATCGTGTCATTGCGAATCATTCTATCGTCCATTATAATCGTTTGCATGACCCCGCTTGCTAATTCGGACCTTGCTGATCTGTCTGCACAGCTGCACTTATTGTGATTTACAGTTTTCTTGTCTGCTACGTGAAGACACATTTGTTTCCGTGTTGAAAAGATCCTGATAATATCCATTGCCATAATACGGTAGTTAACTCTGTTACATTTATTGGTACAATGAACCATCTTTCTCGCTGTTTTTTACTGAGATGTTTGGTTATCTTAACTTTTTGGTACTATGGACTGAATCTTCTCGTTCATTTACATCGATATATCGTTGAAATATCTTAAGTGACCGGTCGAAATATCAAGCAGTCTTTGGAAGCCAGATAACTTGATTGACCGAACGCTGTTAATTTTCGAGGATGAATTAATCGGAAACTGTCACTATTCTGGAACAGTTCATAGAAGAAAGAAGTGCAACCACAAGATCAGATACATCTTTAATCCTCAACTTGGTATAGCCATTTCCATGTATTTCCTTTCTGACCATTTGGTTATCTGTTCTCTAAGAAATCAATGATGCATAGAAATAGCGTAAAAGGTCCAATCTGCAGCGAAGTTCTGTCAGCCCCACTGCGTTGAGAGTTTGCCACTTCATAAAAGAGAAATGTTGAACAGTGCAACTGATGATCCGAAAAATTGCTCTGGATTGGGGATAGAGATATGGATCGTCGAATCCACCATGAAACGAATGTGTGCGGTAGAATTGTATAACGTATCAATAGGAGCTATTTCTTATTTGAAAAGAGAAGTGCTGTCCATCGTAGACAAGTTGAATGATAAAATATGTAACAGAGTATAACAAATCCATGATTTTGGAAACGGATGTTTTTCTTACCCCGTCAAATCTGTTTGGTGACTACTGTGATTATGCACTTAGCGAACTTGAGGGAAACATAAAGAGGAAATTTTTGCTCACAGGTGGTGTTTGCAGTATTTAATTAATGCTTTACGAAATGACGAAATTTATGGTCCCTTTGACAATTTGAGCTCCATAAATAAATATCCCATTCGGGGTATCTGCACCAAATAATGTGTTCTTGCTGCGCATTCTTCCTACCGGAGCTATTTGCATTGCCAACTGTTGGCACTGTTTCACAAAACTCAATCCTATACAGAACCTCGTTCGATCAGCAATGAACCACACCACGGTCATTAATGGGCTATTTTCCCCCTAGAGAGGGAACGTGCTGATGGACTGCATTTTGATAATGTCATCTATACTACTGTCACGAGTAAGGCCTGAAAGTCATGTTCATAATTTTTATACACGTACATAATAACTTCAAGAATGCCTGGACCTGCGACAGTATTCTAAAATTAGGTCTTTTAATGTTGTTATATGAAGCGAAATGTGGTAGAGCTATGTACAATCGTGAGGGTTTACGGATGAAAAACGGTCAGAGGGAAGAAAACCTTATGATCGCCTTGGGCGGCAAAAACAGCTGCTACACCACTGCGTTGCGGGTATGCATGGAGTAATGCAATTGAACAAGGAACAATAAGTTTGTATGAGATGCGAAGCATGCACTATGCAACAAACAGAACATATATTGCCATTTTATAACAACAGGCGGCTTCATCTTCTTACTTGCTTGCTATGAAGCAGTTCTGCTTCCCTCGCTTTTCCGAGAGAGAAAGTAGTTAAAGGTTGATAAAACTGAGGTTTTTGTCCCGCAAATGGAACGTGACCATAGTGTTATGTGGCAAAATATAATTGACGGACCACTTCACGCAATCTCCTTTTGAATAGGCTGGTGACGGTTGGGGGAAACAACTGCTTCGTGACGATTTACAGAAACAGAACGGAAATTTTGGCGACATTCTACACGGATGTATGATTTCCACGTTTGCAAGGGTTGGCCTCTTAGGGTAGTGCTACTGCTGTGCCCCAGCAAAGAGTGATACGTACAGTTACATGTGCAGGTTTAGGTAAGCCGACAGTAGGTTTCCTTGTAATCAGTGATGTCGTTCGCTAAATATTTTCAAGCATTGCAGCCACTTATCTTGTTGCAGACTGCGCATTCCACTGATGAATGCAAAGCCTGACGTTGCGGTCTCCCCAGTGCACTGTATTCGTGCTTTAACCATAGCTATTAGGCTTAAAGTTGCGTATTTGACGTCAGAACTTACTTGAGAGCTGAGTAATATCCAATCGCTCTCCACTTACTGGTTGATATCAAACGGTTGATCATAAGTGAATAGATGGACTCCGTTTTATTATCAATGTATTTCATGATAGGTGAATAAGGAAGGGTACTTTCGCTCTTAAGAATGAACTCGATGCAAAACCTTCCAGCATATTGCATTAATCCAAATGACCAACAGGATAACGCAATGTGTACATTTCTATGCGAAATAGTTGACGTCGTTGGTATTTCTGTGGTTAGATCTGCGGAAAGCGCATCGCTAGTTGTGTGCAACACAGTACAAGCCAATAAAAATAGTGGGACATATAGGACAGTGCGTTAATGCACTAAGCACATTTATGGCCGGTGGTGCACAACTTGGGCTTTCTCCCATGTGTTTCTGGCTCCTTGTTGATGGGCACGAGTAGAGAAGCGGATTCAACAAAACAATTTGTGTTGTCTTAGTCACTAAGGGGTTTTCACGCTCAAACACAAGAATTTTTTTTCATATTTGGTGTGTGACGACCAGTTTTAACCAACGATTCCAGACGTCTAGTTTGACGACAATCCGGTTAGACAGTTGCTAACAATAAGCCGTATATGAGGAGTACAGCCTCTTGTTTGCGCAGTTGAAGGTTACCAAATGAAGCGAAAGGGACCGCACGCAACACTCTCTTCTGGAAGCCGGGATGGACCGTCCTTGTCTTACCTCATGTGGTAGTGGCTCCCACTTCGATCTAGCGTCTTGTCCGGTGATTCCGTATTCTCCGATGCCTATGCTACCTGAAATCTCCCTTATTAGAACCATCCTGGGAAGATCAACGTCGTTGGAGCATTTAGCTTTTGGGGTTAGAAACGAAAGTAAACCATCCGAAACTTCTCCTGATACCGTTCAAGACGTTAGGACAGATTGTGAACTTCTTCCGCCGCCGCCGTTGCCTTACGATTGATTATGAGATTCCCATGGTATAGACTAAGCCTGATCCTGCTTAGCATTAAGAGCTTGACCAAGTTTTCTCCTCATGCTATCCGTAACAGTAGCACCAAGCGTCGGATACAACACGCCTTTGTAGCAAAAGGGTTTGTAGATTGCTAAACAAGCATTTTTCACCAACAGGCGACATATGCCTCATTACCGTTCAGTATATTACGCGCACTGGGACGGTCTATGCTCAGCTTACCTTATTGTTGCTTTAAATCGATTGTGTAGGATTTTGATCTGATCCTTTGGATTTATCTGTTTGTTATGATTCGTTATATGCGACCCTTCCAACTCCATTGAAACTGCTGAAGTCAGTCGTGCAGGATGGTACAACGTGTGTTCAAGTTGGAAACACCTCAAACTGACTGTAATCTGCGTTTGGAACCGATCTAGCACTTACATTTTACCATTAACTTTTGTAGCTAGCTGCTAACACAATTCTTACTAGGTTCAGACTAATGTCCATATGCCTCGAAAATACGTGCTGGAATTTCCTGACTGGTGATGCATACATGAGCTATCTCAGTTAACTGTGAACGCATATTTTGCGACACGTGACTTTGGTGATGTAGTGTTTTTCACCAGGTGAGTTACTGAGTTCACTAGGCAACGCTTGTCGACCAGTGTGCACTAGTCCTGACAACTAAATTAAAGATCTGAAGCCACCCGGTTATGTGGTTTTCGGCTCTACGGATCCAGTTTTTTCGACTGAGGCAATGCAGTAAACTATCTACGCATTATTGTGCAGTTATTGCAGCTTCTGACACTCAGTACACGGCTTGTTGTCCGAGTAAGTCAGAGTCAATAGTGCTAAGAATCACCGATTTGCTCTCGTTATCAATATATGGCCTGATATTTGCATACTTCCGTCCTTAGAACTACCGCGCATCTCTTTAGATTTTTTCAATGTGTACTCCCATTGCAGCGATCATCGTGTCCGTTACCACTTCCCAAGAACGAACCGTCAAAAACCTTCGAGAGACTGTTAAGCAGGTGCAAGAAAGAGTTACTCAACTTGAATCGATTCTACTGGCCAATCACCTGGAGCTCCCCACAACTCCAATAATTGTTGCTCGCAAGTGAGCGAGTGGTATTGAGAGGCGTCGAACACAGGACCGGGTCCAGCAAGCAAGAACTGTCACGACGTAGCGGCAAACTCATCATTACACGACGATTCCATCCAACGCATTTAGTGACCATGAGTATGGTGTTTTGCATCCCTGTGCGTGTAACAATGTACCCCTGGTAAATGACCTAAGGTTTACTCTTTTAATTCGTATCACGCACCTTATTTTACCCGGCAACGCTACCATTGCTGTCGACACGATTAACAAAACCCACGTGACAACTGACTTTTTTAAATTTAATTTGTTGCGCCTAGGTCAGTTTGTTGGAAGCACGTATATCACCTTAACAACCATGCGCCCGCATCTTCCTTCCAATTTCAATACCTAAAATCGCCTCTTTGCCAAATTAATTCTGTTGTACGCGCAAAATTTTCTTTTCCCTTGGATGCTAAACTCACCCGTAACTGCCACGCTTGACGCCGGAGGCAATTCAGCGGTTGTTTTACAATCAAATTCTCAATAAATGCGCACGTCCGCTAATTGCTTCAAGATTTGATTGAAATCGAACTGAGTTATTTTAAAGTATTATAGTTTAAATGGTTGCCGACGGCGGGCTTTTTAATACTGCAGTGAATTGCGCATTGGACACCTTCCTCTTCAGAAGGTGGGGTGGATCCGAAGCGGCTTGAGTTTAATCCAGCTGTGCTTGCAATCCACATCGTGATTAGAAATTTCACCAGAAATAAGGTTCGACCACTTGCGCCGATTGCATCCAATTGATGCGAAATTTATTCGGGTAAGCCACAGACAAGCAGGATGTATAGTTAGTACCTAAGCAACCAGACACTCTGCTGGGATTTGTTTTGGATGAGCAGAATTAAATTTGAGTAGGGGAAGCTGAACAATGGAGGTCGTTGTGCTTCCATGATATCGCATAGAGAACCGTATGTACTGGTAGAACAGGTGAATTTCCGTCTGCTTGTGCGTTACATCATGCATGTTAAAGAGGTATTCGAATTACGTCGTTTGTATTAAGCTAAAAAGCGTATTGACTGCATAGATTACTGAATCAACCTGTTTCAATCGATGTCCATTTCAACGCATGGGAATACCAATAGTGTTTCCGCAAATGGGTGATTGCATACTAGGACTGTAGAAATGTACCTTAGAGCCTTAATTAACAAGCGTTGATGACGCAGATTACTTTGTTTGTGCAGGTTGCGCAACAGCGTCCTTGTGTGATTTAACAATAACCCACAGCTTTTTTCGTTGACCAGTGCTTAGACTCATCTGGCGATGGAAGCAGCTTCACCACAACTGGCACAAGGTATCAATCTCCCACAGTCGGATAACATATTGCGTCTTCACTGCTTGGTATAAAGAGGCATTTATTCTTAAGATTGCGCAAGTTTTGGATAGGAAAATACACCCCGTTCTTATTTATACAATCTAGCATATCTTTCCACTGTGCCCCTAGAACATTAGATGTCAGTAAACTGTGGCTGCTAAGCATTACAACGCTGTCATGCTACTGTAAGTCATTGGACTGAGTAGAGTGTTGATTACTCTTGACATCATGCCCAAGAATATTGGCTTCTTTATCTATGCGCCAGCCGTACTTCAGTTTACAACAATGCGTTCTATAGCGAAAGCCGTCATCGATGATCACGTACTAATGGGTTCTAATCTCAGATGCCCCTCCGTCCATTCATATGTCACAAACAGAAAAATGATCGGTTTAAGTTCGCATTCATTCTCTAGGCTGATCAGATTGACTGCAGACGTATCATACTAAATTGAAGTGGCAGTTTCTGTGTGAAATAGCAAATAGTTTGGTATCAGGTACTGAGCTACGAGCAAATCCACAGGGGACTACCGAACTGTCTTTTAACTACATTCCACTTGTTTATAATTACTATTCAACGAAATTAGTTGCTTTTGTATGCACTCGGGAATGTACGAGCGACTTCTGTCGCTCGGAGTATGGGGTTGAGAGGCAACTGGTATGAGAAAGTTACACGACGCTCGTTTCCTTAGTAAATGTAACTCAGGTTCAACAATTTTACTCCCATGGCAGAGAGGCCAAGGGAGTGGAATTGATTTGACCTACTGGCCATTTAGATGGATCTCTTTAATAGACCAGTAGATATTTTGCACTTGAATAAGTCAGTAGTTTGCTGGTTAAGTTTTTGCTGGGGCCATCCTACCGTATTGGTTACGCACTACTCTCATTGGATACATCAGACCGGACACAACCAACCTAAAATGTCTTCAATCAGAATGCGTTTCATTCTCGCTACATTTGTCAATCAGATATTCTCGGTCTGAACTAGGTAAAGTTGCGTGTTGTGATAGCTAAAACGATGGAATGGCTAATGAAGATAAATCACGTTGGTTAGTGGCAGCTAAACAATAAATCCTGCGCGTTCGTAGGTGAACCAGCTCAACCCCTTTTAATGGTTTCTCCAAGGGATGCAGCCAGGCAGGAGTGAGATATAATTTGACCGTTTTGGAACATCTCACAAAAAACCCGCAGTAGTAATTGAAGTCTACGGAAGAGCTTCTTTACATCCTACACCAAATAAGATGAACATATGTGTGTCAAAAGGATTTTCTTTGAAACATGCGGACAGTTTTGATCAAAAAGAGTCACACTTGGATGATGTCGAATTATGCAATTTTAAATCTAGCTTTCTTCGGGAGATTATACGTAGACAGCTAGACATAGCTTGCCCAGCATTTAGATGAGGACGTTACAGAAACCAAAAACCAACTTGTCGGTTTTTTCGTATGGGGTTAATAGCGCTTCGCTTTTACATTTTTCTGGGAATTTTAGGTACATGTGCATGGTTCTAGGCAGGACAATTCCTCAGGAAATAGCAACCATTGCAATGATCTATTGATGCCGTAATTCTAAACTTATAGGTGATGGCAAAGATCAATAAACTATTCCATATCCTATAAACATTCGTTTTTGTGCACTTTGGAAGGTGTGGCAGAGAGGATGGGCGCCTGCGGAGTGTCATGATAGTCTATCAAATCTACAAGTATTTCAGACAAATTCGCCTTCTCCTCCAGGAGCTTAGCCACAGCACTATCCTCAAGAGTCAGCAGGTGAATTCGACCATGCAGTATAAGTAAATTGTTTACACTCGGCAACGCAATGGCGCCTGCCCATGCATGCTTATTTTAAAAGAGCAACAAGTGTAAATTTACCGCTGCATTTTGCTGGTTTGATAACCTCCACATCGTGAGAAAGGAAGATTGACGTTTATGGAGCTGATTTACCTTCTCGTAACTTCGCTTCCTCTTCTTCGACTGATTACCTCGGTTATTTATATAAACTCTTGACCAAACTCGTAGCGTTGTCTGGTGACCGAATAAACGTCGCGTACCGATTTGCTTTTGCTCTTTTTCACTCCTCGGAACAAGTCTTTGCGTGATTGCGTCACTGACCCAGTTCTTAACATGTGCATCCCATTTAGCTCAGCCATTCATTTATATCCGGAATGTGCATTATCAAACAATTGCACGTCCTCTTAGGCTTACCATAAATGCTTGGCAAGTTGACGCTCTTTTTTATGCCCATCCCTCAAACCATCACACGAGATATGGTAATTCGCAGTTTGTTTACCCTTACTAAACCCCTGTTTCGTAGTAGACCATATTCACTACAGCATAGCAGAGACGCCAATACAATTATATCGCAACTTGCATGGTAAGTACGCGTAGCGCCAGCTATACCCATCGCAAGCGAATCAGATTTAAACTAGGGCATCTAAGAATGTAATTGGAATGCGCAATCTTTCCTACCAGGAGAGGTTGCAACGGTTGGGGGTGTTCAGTGAAAACTATCACATACTAGGAGGAAAGCTGATTATGGCATACTTGATTCTGCGAGACCCACATCATGTGTGCCGCCCTTTACTGCAACTCAGCAGCATTACAAACCTGATGGGCCACTCATTGAAACGCGAAGTACAGTAGAGCCGTCTGGAGTGCCGCAGAAATTTCTTTTCCATTCGTATCTGCACCGACACTAACAGTATTTAAAAGACGGTTGGACGATGCACTGATCCACTTACACTTTGTCACTTAACACTACGTCTCCATCCTACACCTGGAGTCTACCATGGAATTATTTGTTGTTAACTGTGGGTGTTGTGCATCTAAGAGGATCGCAGGACTGCGGCGAAGCAAACGATAAGTCCTTATTTTCATATTTAAAGTATTAACTATTTTACTATCCTTATCATCATTATTGCTATGTTGAAATCCCCACCAACTATCCAACGGAACTTATAAAGCAACGCTTCTTAACCCGTATAAATTCATTGTTCATAGGTTAGTAGACTGCAGCCCAGCGTACTGAATGCTGGGGTATTCCGTATACCATGAGTATCGTAAACTGAACAAGCGGGGGTCACTTTTAGTACTGGCGGCTCAGTCGAATACAGTTTGATTAGTCAGGCAAGTGCAGTACCACATATGTATGAGGTGATGCGTCAAGCACTAGGTATGGTGTGGTCTTGTATGGATCAGCTCGAGTTGGTAGGACGTGTGTCGTTGCCACGTCGGATAGATGACACATATTTGAAAATACGTTCGCTAAATTGATGCCGTTGAAACTGCTGGCATCAACGCCTCATACGTGGGACCCTGACATACTTTCATATTCGACGTAGTTCACCAATGTTTTACAGTGATTGGAATAAGTTCATTACAAATCTCTCTGGCACCTCTTGCCTCGTCCAACAACCAGGAAGTTGTAGTGTCTCAGAATATTGTAATTGCGTTTCCCAACTACTTTCCCATATCCATTGAATAAAAGCAACTACAATCAAATACACCTGCGTCGCTACCAGTTCGAACTCACTGAAATCCGACCATCGGCTATACCGGTGTTCTCAAATGACACCTTGCTTCAACCTCCACGATTATTACCAACGGACACGATCCCATTGCCCCCACACAAACCTACCATGCCTGTAATGCCCGGTTGCAAATGCTCACATGACAATGACCAGAAGAACACAGAAGTCACTTTACAAAGCATGTTTTAGTACTTGTGATTAATGCCAGATCCATAAACAAGAAACCGTGTTCTCTAAGCGTGCTTACACAATTAACGGAACCGCAAACAATCCTAGTTATCGAGACGTAGTGCTGCTCTTTTACATTACTCTACTCTAATGGCTCTTAATTATAACTTGCTTCGAAAGGATAATTGTACAGGTACAGAAGGAGGATGTATGACATACTCATATCACGCAACTACAGCAGAGCTCCTTGGGCATTCACAACTAACAAATGTCTCAGATCCTCCATAGTTGTCCGTTTCAAGAGCCTCTCTTCACATTTTAGTTGGATGTATATGAAACCCACCGAACGTGTCAACCGCGAGTGTTGCCACTACCATACCAGCTTCCGAGTTTGCAGCTTATGGGGAATACAGATAAATGATAATTGCATTTAACTTAAAACTACCAATGATAAGCTGGTCTTCCCAACCACCTTCGTCTAGCCACATAACCTTC